ATTTTTATTATTTTGACGGTCAAAAGTCAAAAAAGAAAAAACAACAACAGCAAATCGTAAGCTACCCAAAAATTAAATAAATTAAAGGAAAATGATTGGTGGCCCTAAAAAATTTGCCCCTAATGCCCCTAATTTCCATTTTTAGAAACTGTTTTCTTTTTTTTTTTTTTTTTTCCTTTTTTTTTTTTTTTTTTTACCTAAAGTGAAAATTTCGGGGCATTCGACCCCGAAATTCGGGCCCTCAAGCAGCGCCGTTTTATTTTCACGAATCTATTGACCTTGATTCTATTAAAGTTTGGTTCGTGGTGTCTTGTTGCGGGCCTTTTTTGTGCGCATTTCAATAATATGATCAATTCTTAATTAAAAAAAAAAAAGGGTTGATTGAACATTTATAATTATATAATTAGAGTATAAAATAATAATAATAATAATAAATTGATCGAACATCAATAATCATATAATTATATAAAAAATAAAAAATATAATTTTTTTTAAAAAAACATCTATTTTCATATACACATCTTATGATCTAATCATGTTAACAATAGATATTTAATTAGAGTTTGATTTCCTTCAAATTGTCATCTCAATTTGAGAGTGTTTAGACTTGGTAAGCCCATTTTGGAGTTGATTTCGGTAATTTAAATCGTTCACTTTTTTAGATTTATTAAGTATAATATTCATACAAAAAATAAAGATGACTAGACATCGGTAGGTATATGTTTGAATCATATTTATTTTTAAAAAAAAATAATTGACAAATATAATTTCAAAAATAACCATCTATTTTTTGTAATATAAATTTGATTCAAACATATAATTACTAATATCTAATCATCTTGATTTTTTATATAAATATTTTACTTAACGAGTTTTAAAAAATAAACAATTTGAATCATCAAAATGAAACGTATGATAGGCTCTATAAATCACTCAAATTCTCTTATATGGAGATGATAAATGAAGCGCAATCCATTTAATCGACTAAACTTTTACATGATGATTTATCATTACGACCTACCAGAAGACAAATGATTTGGATTCGCAAGATAGGCTATCCATTTCTTTTTGTTAATAGATCCATCGACTTCACAAAATTATGTTATAAAAATTATTGGAATTTGATTTATATTCATTTTATTAAAAACTCGTTTATAGCATATTAAAATTTCATTTACTTATTATATAAATAAGTTAAACTTAAATTTTATTAACTTATAAACCTAAATTTGAACGATTCAGGCATTGTTTGGAAACATATTTTTTTAATTTTTTAGTTTTTTTACAAAAAAATATACAAAAAATAGAGAGAAAAAGAAACTTTTAACTTTTTTATATAAGTTGTTAATTTTTTTATTTTTTTAAATGACTTTTTGATTTTTAAACTGAAAAATAACATTATCAAACAGTCGTCAATACTTGTTCTGATTCATCCTGAGTCCAATAACATGTCATATAAAAGATTAGGACAAATTACAAATACATTTTTTAAATTTTGTTTAAAATATGGATTATCTTTTGTGATTTAGAAAATTATAAATATTCCTTATCAAATTTTTTTATTTAATAGAATAAATTGAAAAAATAAAAATTCTAACAGTTCTTTTATACAATAATAAAATTACCTGAATTATTAATTAAAATAAATTTCTGATATCATTAAAAACTATTAATTGACCTGATGATTTGTTAATAAAAGGGCCATTTGTTATGAAATTAAAAACCTTAAGAGGTGGAATGTAATTTCCATAACATAAGAGGCGATTTGTATTTTAAGCAAATTTTTGAGGTGTAATTTCTAGTGGAATGTTTAAAAAATTATTACATATGTATGAAATTTTTCATAATTTTAATTATTAATAGGGTTTATTATACTTTCTATTCCTAAATTATAGTCAAGTTGTGTACTTAGTCTTTCAAATATTGATTGAATTTACTAGGTTCCTAAAATAAATAAATCAAATTCTATTTAGTTTTTAAACAATTAATTGAATTCATTAAGTCTCTAAAATATTTAATTCTAATCTATTTAGTCCCTAAAATCATTACAAAAATAAAATACATACCCTCATAAGTGTTATAAATTAGTAAAAAATCTATCCATTTAAGATTTTATTTCCAAAAAAAAAAAACTTAAATTTTTTCTTTATTAAATTTGTTTTATTTCATTGTGTGTTTAAATTAATGTTAGAGTCTAATTTTTCATTATTGCCAATAAAATTATCTGAATAATAGATATATTGAATAAATAGAATTTGATAATTTAAATAATAACACTTCGCTACAAATAATACTAGGACAAAATAATACATTAATTAAATAATTAAAAGAACTTAGCAAAAAATTAAAAAACAATCAATTAAAAATTATAAACGAAATCTGGCATATAATATTAAATAAAGGCATCTGACCTTTGTAAAAGATAAGTAAAAAAATAATATAAATAATTATTTTTATCCTTATAAAAAAAAATCACCATAATAATTGATATTCGCTTTTCACAGGCACACAAAATTAAGATTTTTTAAAAATAAAATTTTAAGTAGATAAATCTTTTACTAATTTATAACATTTTTAAACTTATATTTTATTTTTATAATACTTTTAGTGACTAATAAGTTTGAATTAAGAGAAAATTATTGAAAAATCTAACATAAAGAGAGTATATAAGACATTAGGTCCTATGAATATTTTTTTTGGGTGAGAAATTCACTCTTTGTAAAATATTGTGGTGAAAAATTCATTTTATAAATTTGGAGGACATCTTATTTCCAATTTTTCCTTTTAATTTTTAATTAACACAAATATGTTGAAATTAATTCTATCTGTGTGAATTTTCTATCTGTTGAAATTAATTCTATCTGTATAAGACATTAGGTCCTGTGAATATTTTTTTGGGTGAGAAATCCACTCTTTGTAAAATATTGTGGTGATAAATTCATTTTATTAATTTGGAGGACATCTTATTTTCAATTTTATCCTTTTAATTTTTAAGTAACACTAATATGTTGAAATTAATTTTATCTGTGTGAATTTCTATCTGTTGAAATTAATTCTATATGTATGAAATTTTTATTTATTTAAATTTTTTTTTCTATCTGTTAAAATACCAAGCCAAACAAAACCCTATCTGTTCAAATACGAGCTTATTTTTAATTCATCTATTTAATTTTTAACCTATCTACTTCAATTTTTTATGTTCAATTTTTTTTTTTTGGAACCCATTTGGGGTGATTTGGAAATTGGTTAAAAGCTGACTTTTGATTTTTTAAAATTTCTTGTCATTTTGTATGTAAAAAATGTAAGACGTAATATAATCCAAAATAAGTTAAAAGCTAAAAGTTAACTTTTAGTAAGCTTCCCAAATTGTCCCATTGTTGAACCTTCTCTCTCTCTCTCTCTATATATATATATATATATACATTGAGATGTAAATTTGGCCCGACCGGACCCGTGTCGGGTCTCAGAAAATTATGCCTAGGCCTAGGGAGTATTCAAGTCTTGAGCGAGCCGGTGGACCTGGGCTCAGGTTGGGCTACGCTTGGACAGGCCTGAATAAAGTTTTTTTTTATTTAATTTTTTTTATCAAAATTTTATTATTTTTTACTAAAAAAAGACAGTGGACCTCGTACGGACTAGGCCTTACTCAAACCGAACTTCAAAATGATAACCAAGTTTAGGATCTCGGACCGGGCTTGAATCCAGAGCAGGCCGGGCCTACTTCATTACCCTTTGGATAATCTGTCAAACCAAGCACAATGGCTTCTCTCTCTCTATCTGTCTATCTACCCCGCCATGTGCTTCTATCTCATCACCTTATCTCTCTGTCTCTCTCTCTCTCTCTCTCTCACACACACACACACACAACCAACAATCACAAGATGCGAGGCATGGCGAGCTCCGCCTCCTCCATCGCCGTCATTGTCGGCGTCGGCCCGAAGCTCTCTCTCTCGGCCTCGGAAGCGATTGGCTTAATATCAGGTCTGTGGAACCAAACTTCGTCATCAACAGATTGATGTGGATCGTAGAAATCTAACCGTTTTGGAGCATTAATGTCCTCATAAAGATTGTCCTCTACAAATACGAATATATGCTTTTCCAATCGATCCTGGCTGCCTCCATTTTACACACACAGACAGAGATGAACAAAAACAGTGTTCCTCAAAACAAAGAAATCACAAAGATATATATAAATACACGGATTGTATAGAACACAGCTAATACAACTCTTCATGAAGGAGTTCAGATCTGGACTCGTCGTGCACCCTCAGATCTGCCTCCGACTCCGCAGTAACGGCCGCCGTGAAGGATATCTCAAACCCTAGCTTGAGTAACGAATCGGAGCGAAGTCTGTGGGAGAGAGATCGCTCTCGAAGACGACTTCGATGAGTTTGGCGATTTCGACCATCACTGCAAAGCAATCGGATGTGAGTGCCATGTGATATCAGTGCATTACAAGAGCTTGATCGGAGAGCGGAGCTTACCGTCAGCGAGGAGAGAGAGAGAGAGAGAGAGAGAGATGAGAGAAATCCAGATCGCTGGAGGTGACGAAGAGGGGGATTTGGTTTGTTTCCACCGTAAAAAAAAATAAAAAATAAAATTAGAGTGGATTTTGACTAATAAAATTTAATTTTAAATTTATAATCGAGTGCTCTTGAATTAAATATTTTAAAATTTTAATAGCTTAAATTAATAGTTTAAAAATTGAATAAAATTTAATTTATAAATTTAAATAATTAATCTAATTAGGTGGAGATTTTATAATTGTCTAGTTAAGGTCTCATTTGAGAACATATTATTTTAGTTATTTTTTTAAAATTTTATAAAAAAATATGTAAAAAAATAAAAAATAATATAATAATTTATAATAACTTTTAACTTTTTAAGTTAAAACGATCTTAAAACATAAAATACAATAAACTTTCATTAATATTAATAAATTTGATCATTGATTTATAATTATCTTTACAACAATTATTCATACGATTAAAAAAAACCACTAATACGACTAATAATAGAGCACCATTCAACTATTTTTCTTATCTTTAACGTTGTACAGTGACTTGGAATTTTCCCCATGTACACGAAGAAGAAAAGCATTACAATTTGTTCCACTTTTCATAATAAAGATAAACTAATCCAATACGTCCAATTGGTCGATACCTTTTGATCCGACGTTTCTAAGCTAATCTCACCCCTTAAAAACACACAGACACAACAACCACACACCCAAAAAAGTCAAAAAAATCAATTGAAGACTTTTTCTCAACATCAGGAACATCTTAGCCGATGATGATCACCAAACCAAAACATACGGCGATCATCTCTGATGCTCCATCATAAGTGCGAAGTCCCCGAAGCACACAAACCCATCCCTGTTCTTATCTACCCCGCTTATCATGCGCCGGCAGTCCTCTAACGTGCACTGCTCGTCTCCAATTGCGGCGAACACCGCGTGGAGCTCCTCCGCCGTGATCCGACCGTCGTGATCACTGTCGAAAAAATCGAACGCCTCTCGCAGCTCCGAGTCGCATGCCGGCGACTCGAACGCCGAGCTGATCGCGCCGAATTCCTCCAAGCTGATACATCCATCACCGTCCTTATCAACATCGCTGAGCATCAACTTCAGTTCCTCCTCGGTCGGTGGCTCGGCGCCGACTAGGCCGACTCGGCTGAGCAAAGCCTCGAGCTCCTTGCTCGTGATCTTTCCATCACCGTCTTTATCGATCATCTTGAAGGTTTGAACGAACTCGAAGCAGATTTCGGACCAATCGCATGAGATCTCCGATGATTTCGAAGGCAAAACGCTAGTCGGAGTCTCCTTTTCGGGTTCGGATTTGCGGTGGTGGAGCGACCCGGAGGTTGAGGACTCGGAGGATGAGGAACCGTAGCTGAACGATAACGGGTCGGATCGTGAGACCGACCGGCTCTTCTTTGACCTGAAGAGTCTTTTGGGGTTGATGTTGGTAACTAGCTTCATAGTTCCAAATCAAATGGGAAATAAAAAATGCGAGAGAGAGAGAGAGAGAGAGAGAGGCCGAGAGAGAATGGAGAGGTTTCTCTGGGAAAGAGAGAGGAAGATGAGGGAGGTTAAATGGAGGGCGAGAAGAGAGAGAAGCCATGGCTAGGGCAGCTTCCGGGAAGCTTCGTTGGGAAAAGTAATTGTTTTGAATGAGCATTGATAGGAAGTTTGTTTTGGTTTGGATATGTGGAATCATGTGATTTTTATGTGGGGGAATCTCAAAACAGTGAAATAAATAAATAAATAATTGCAAAAACATGTAAGGTACATATGAATTAATATAGTATAGAAGAAAAATGGAGTTGCTAAGTTTTAATATTTTAATTTTAATTTTTTAATTTTTTAATTTAAAAAAAAATCTCATATTTGTTGACTTTTTCTAATTCATAAATTTTTTTTTTGACTTTTTTCATACCTACTGTCGTATCATTTTTAACTTTTTTCATACACTATGGCTAATGACATAATTGTTAAATTATTTTTATAAAAAATTTTAAAAAAATAATTTATATATTAAAAAAATATCTAAAACAAATATAAATTCTTATTAAAAAATATTAAAAAAATCTAAAACAAATATAAATTTTTATTAAAAAAATAACAAGTTGCAATTGTTGGGGAAAAAATTACATTGTAAAAAATAATTTGTATATTAAAATAATATCTAAAACAAATATAAATTCTTATTAAAAAAATAACAGGCTGTAATTGCGAGAAAAAAAATTACACTGTACATTTCATTAATAATGCTAAAAAAATGTGGAAAGTATTTGTATAAAGGCTTGACACCTTTCCACTCTCAAATTATTAAGTAGATGAAACTAAAGAACTTAACTTTAATAGTTAACAAATATTGGAAATCTAATCATTAAAACTATTAATTAATAGAATTCAGCAATTAAAAGGTCTAAAATCACATCTCTTTTTGTCTTCTCAAATGTTTTATTTTTTTTGGTTCATGCATTTATTCTAATATTGATAGAGAATTAGACGTGTGGAATAGTGAGAGACATTAAAATTATATATTAAGTTATGTAATTATTGTAATGAAAAATAAATGATGTCTTCCTTTTCTATGACGATTTATCTAGTTATACCTCCAATTAAAATGTCGGGTGTGTTTCTATATCATCATTGAACGTTACTTTTATTTTTTTTTTTAGATATTTTGTCTCACAATTGTTTGTATTTTGTGTTATGAAATTTATTATTTCTGTACTTGCTAAAGCTATTAGATGGACCTAATGTAAAAAGTGCAAACTATTTCAATATCATTCTCAATATTAAAATTACAAAATAATATACATAAAAAGTATATAAATAGACAAGATTTTACAAAATTTGTTTGAGAATCTCACATCTTAAAAATTCTATAATTCATTTATTTTTTATATTATATTTTATGTTTAGTTTCTGTATTTTTTTTTATATAGTTTTCTTTATTTTCTTTAAAGTTTATTTTTAAAAATTAATAAATACATAAATAAATAATTTTATATTTCAAACAATTTCATTTTTGTTTTTATTTTTTATTTTTTTAAAGTAGTTTTAATTTTGAGCACTTACTTACTTTTTTTCTATATATTGTAATTTTGTGCATTTTAAGTGTATGACGTTTTCATTAATGCATCCAGAGATGCACCATGAAAGAAGTATCATATGAAAATCAAACAAAAAGAAGAAAAATAAATAAAACAACACAATAAATGTGAAGCAAAGATCAAATATCAAAACTCTCAAAGCAAACAAATAAACAAACAACAAGTAAAATAGAATAGTTAACAATAGACATTTGAAAATTTACAACAAAATTTTATAACTTTTCTTTTGCTAAGAAAATTCTATTTGGTACTAGTTAAATAAAATAGTTTTAAAATAGTTTTTTTTTAATTTGAAATTAAAACTATAGTATATTTATGTAAACAAAATTGCTAATCACATTTTTTTAATGTATAATATTTATATTGACTACCTTTTTTGGTTTATTTTTTTAAGTATTTATATAGAAGTAAAAAATGTCGTTAGGAATAAATTTTTTCTTAATTTAGTTATAAATTTTGCATGTACGTTATTTTTAAATTTTGATTAAAAATAAACATAAAATAATTGATTGAAGATATGCTGCATTTGTTATATTCTTTTTTCTGTGTGCCAAAAAAATATTTAAAAATCACAAATCGTATATATCCAAATAATTATAAATACAATCCATACATAATACGGATGGAACACTAGTTCTATGATAAAATATAAGTGAAAGATTGTAAAAGTGTAAATATGACTTACACCCCCTCTATATTTGTGAATTTTTTTTTGGGGGGGAGGCGGGGGTTACCACTAGGATATAATTCTACCTTTTATAATGCTAGCTTAGGACTCTTGTGTGCGCACGGAAATGTGTTACTTTGTGCCGTTTTGTCAACAATAGTAAAAAGCAGCGTTTTGACCCAACGGAAAAAACGCAGAAGTTTGAAAAAACGCAAATACACCATTTGGGAAGATTTAAAAATGAAACTCTGTCAATTTACCAAACTACCCTTCGTCTTATGTAATTGGGGCCTAGGGCAAAACACATTCATTTGCCTCCTCCCTCTCTGGTGTTGATTTCGTCCTCCTCTTTGAAGCTGCGCTTCCAGCTCCCTCGAACAACCCAAGACCTTGCCGGTCCCCGCCGAAGTTGCTGCCAAAATTGTCATCCACGTCCTCGCCGTCACCAGATCTGCACCATCAGGTAAGCCGAAAACCCTCTTCCGTTGTTGTCTTCTCGCAAGTATTGATAGACCAATTTCCATGACAACAGTTGTTCAAAAATTAAGGGACCAGCTGTTGTATGATGTATATGCTATAATATTGCTCCATATTCATTTCCACTTTTGATTTCGACTTGTGTGATGTTTGTATTTCCGATCTTTGGCCGTCGGTGTTTTGTGTACTCATCCCTTTCGATCACGCTACTGGCCTTCTTTTAAAAATTTTAGTGTACCTGTAATAGCAGGTTGTTATTTGCAATCATCATTTGAAGTTTCTGTTTTTTTTTCTTCTTTTTCTTGTTGTCTATAGAATGTGGCTTCCCCTTCATCCACTGGGTTCACATATAGTAGATTAAACCTTTTAGTTTTTGGTATTGGGTTTTGTGTAATCTTTTGATTTCTTCCTCTTCTTCTTCTTTTCCATTCTTGGCAATGTAGATATGTTCTTCTTTTTTTTTTTTTTTTTTTTTTTGTTTTTGGCTTAAGCATTATAGATGTTCATCAACACAAAGAAAATGTTATGTTGAGCAAATATTTGAAAATGACAAATGGACTTTATGGCCTATAAATGACCTTACACCTGGGCTGAACAAATACATTTAACCAAAACCTAAGCAAATACATTTAAGAAAAACCTGAACAAAGCTGGAAAAAATCCAACCAAGCTTGATCATTTGAGGCAACTTGAGCAAAACCCAAACTTAATAAGTTTGGGCTGGGTTAGCTCAGGCTTGTGGGTCAGGTACACAGAAACGTCTATGTACTCATCCTTTTCCATTGATCACTGTACAAGTAAAACTACCGAACACTGTGTTGTACCAAGGGTTGGGACTTCGGTGCAATAGAATATTGCTCTGTTAATTTCTCTTTCAAATTGACAAAAATGCAAAACAATATATACATATTTTTTTAATTAATGTTTAGAACAGAAAACGAGAACATAAATTAAAAAAATCCTTCAATGTTGGAATAGACATTTATAAAACTCCAAGCAAAACTGTTTATCACTGCTGAAGCTATAGATATAGATTCATCAAATAATTGCGATATGTATCATTATTGGAGCTATGGATTCATTAGTGCTGAAGCTGCAGCAATTGGAGGTGGTATTGAGTAGGATTTGGAAAATGGCTTCTCTTCATTGTATTGTGGATTGTGTATTGTATTATTGGGATGGGGAGGAAAAGAATTAGTACACCATTGGGATGTTGTCTGAGACCATTGTTGTGGAGGGTGGTTATAAAATTGTAGTGTAATTGGGGACAAACTAGAGATTTGAAGTTGGAAGAGTAGTGGGGGCATTAAACTTCTACCATTTGGAATAGGAAAACAAAATATTAGTCATTTTCATGTTATTTTGCTGTTTTATTTTACTTCTCATACTACAAAAATTCGTATAACAAATATCTTGTGTATTCCTAAACTAGCATAACAAAACAGGACACCACATGACAACTACAGTATGGAAAACTTGAGAAAATAAAATGCCTAATCAGGACACACCAGTAAACTAGCATTTTCAATAGTTAACCTAGAGGTGGCCAGTGTTGTGCCGTGTCCTTTCAAGTTTGTATTTGGTTTTTTATATTTTTGTGCTGTGTTATTTTTAAAATGTGTGTTGTCAACAAAATTAACCCTTACTTAAACGGTATAAAGAATAGTATTTTTTGAAAAAAAATACTAAATTTTATGAAATTCTTTCAGTTATTCTCTTTCATTCTGCACACTACATCATATTAGTTCAATTTATAACATGTACAAAAAAATCAAAGGAGTATACAGATGGCGTCCTCCATGTTAATTGCCACTTCATCATGGCCACCGAGGATGTGTGCATGTGACTTTGGACATTGCGTTGTCAAGATATCATGCACTTATGCACTTAGTCCTACGGTGCGTTTGTGTTGCCCCTCTCTTATGCACTTAGTCATGTCGTCGTTTATTTGTGGTTGTGTCGCATAGTATGCATGCTAACTATTTACTGCACTTTTGTACGGCAGCGATATGCTGCATGGGTTGGTTGGTGTGATGAGTTTCGCAGCACCAGATTTGGTACTGACCACCCACATAATGATGTCGATATGGGGTTACGGGCGGGCGTTGTGCGCATAGATCAGAGCCTACGTACGCTTAGGACAGTCGTCGGTGTTTTGTGCGTCGTTGTTTCGGTGTTGTTGTTTCGGATGTGATGTATTGTCATAGATGTAATATTGCTGCATAATTACTTTTTGTATCACATATGTACTTGTTGTCAGTTATGTGTTTGTCCTGTTACATAACATTTCCCCACCGTGTAATACAAACCGGCTTTGTCTTTTGCAAAGCGTTGTACTATTTGTTGTTATTACTGCAGTAATTGTCTAGACACTTCGATTTCACTTTTGGGCATG